CCGAGATGCATCGTCAAGTTGTTTTGGAGTTTGAGGACAGGTCTTTGAGTAAGGTTAGTAGAAAAAAGAGGAAGGCATAAGTATAAGCATTTCTTACGCATTTTGATGTTTCAAGTTGTTTTGGAGTTTGAAGACAGGTCTTTGAGTAAGGTTAGTAGAAAAAAGAGGAGGGCATAAGTATAAGCATTTCTTACGCATTTTGATGTTTTTGGCTGGTTATTTATCGATATTTATGTTTTTTTCTCTCACTATTTAGAGGTTATACTAGTGCAGATTTTTGCCATTGTGTTCATCTTTATGCAGACTCAAGTGGTTCTGCTGTNGGAAACGTGGTAAATTATAAAAGAAATGTATTGGGTATTGATCAGGAAAATGTGATATTTTTTAATTTATAAAACTAGATAGAGACCTAGGTAGTTGATCTGCAAACATTGCAAAAATGTATAATTTTCATTTATCTCTATCTCTATCTCTACTAACTTAAAAGGATGAATGTTTTTGTAAAAATATGTGTCCACTAAAATATCCTCTATCAATCATAATTTGTTAATGCTTTGTAATGGCAAAAAAGTATTTTACATGTTATTCTTCTACTATCTACTATCTACAACTATCTTAACATATCAAATTACCCTTACTCTCTTTATTTTTTAATGGCTTAATTGTTATTTTGTTAAAAGTCATTTAATGAGACAGAGTAATCTTGATTTTAATGGCTTAGTTACAAATCATGTATGTACGTTTTGTTTTCATTTTATTGTTTGGGTATTTCTTTTTTTATTTTTATAGTTTAGTCAATATCTTTTTGGTTAATGGTTGCAAATTCTTTTATTAATTTTAGATTTAGATTTGGATGTGAACTTATATTACCACAGTTTACTTGTTTATATTTTTTTTTTCAAATTCTAAAGATAATTTTTTAAATCTCAAAAAAATAAAAAAAAATCTAACTTATATTGATTAATTTTCTCATTAAGGCAATTTTAGTTAAATTATTATGTTATTTATTTAATAAATATTTAAGATACAAATTATAAGAGAATAATATTTTATAATAACCAAATTACTCTTACTCTCTTGATTTTTTAATGGCTTCATTGTCATTTTGTTAAAAGTCATTTAATGAGACAGAGTAATTTTGATTTTAATGACTTAGTTACAAATCATGTATGTACGTTTTGTTTTCATTTTATTGTTTGGATATTTTTTTTTTCATTTTTTAGTTTAGTCAATATTTTTTTGGTTAATGGTTGCAAGTTCTTTTATTAATTTTAGATTTAGATTTGGATGTGAACTTATATTACCACAGTTTACTTGTTTATATATTTTTTTTTTCAAATTCTAAAGATAATTTTTTAAATCTCAAAAAAATAAAAAAAAACCTAACTTATATTGATTAATTTTCTCATTAAGGAAATTCTAGTTAAATTATATTATGTTATTTATTTAATAAATATTTAAGATACAAATTATAAGAGAATAATATTTTATATTACATGATTATATTAACCCAAGTAGTATGATATATTGAAAACGGGTTTAGTAGATTTGAAGAATAATAATCAATAATATTATAACTTTTAAGAAATATTTATGGATTAGACGAACTAAAAAAACAGTTATCATTAGCACTTATATTCATAAAATAAATTAATAAACCGATATTATAATAATCAATAATATTATAACTTTTATGAAATATTTATGGATTAGATGAACTAAAAAAACAATTATCGTCAGCACTTATATTATAAAAGAAATTCATAAACCGATATTATTTTAAAGGTTCAACTGCTTTTGTGTCAACGGAAACACATGCGGTTGAAAAATAAACTACTAAAGTGCAAAAGGCTTGTGAAACCTTTAACTACCATTAGCTTATCTATCCGTACAACGCACAAATTGTAACACAATAATTAAACTGATATATTATTAAATAATATTTTATTATATTTTCATAATAACAATTTCATATTTAACTTATATTATTTTATAAGTTATTATTTAATTCTACATTTTAATTAATAAGATTATATTTTTCTTTTGAGCAATGATACACTTATGGTTTAATAGACAACCCATTAATTTTTCACTTTTTTGTCTGTAATCGGTGCTTGATATAGTTTTTTTTTATCTCTTTTTCGTATTTATATTTATTTTCTACATAATGGTTTTCAAACTAATGTCGGATAACATGTGGTATCTTATGTTGGATAATTTTTTATTTAATAAAAATTAATTAATAAACTTGACATTTTTTTATTTTTTTATTATAATTATTAAACGAAATATAATTATGTTATCGCAACTGATATTATTTTTCATTGTATTTACCCATGATAGCCGAATCAAAAGTCACCATGTTACATACTTAAGATTTATTTGGAGTAAATAGTAATTTTGCTAATTCTATTTTCTTAGTGTCTATATAAAAATATTTAGATAATATACATAAATCATTATATAAATTTAGTTTAAATTATTTTTAAATTTTAATGCCTGTTGTTCGAAAAATAATTTTATATAACTATAGATTTTTTATATAGATTGACCAAATTAAGTAAATAAAATATAAACTTGAAACATCAGATTAAGAAAATTAAGAAAATTGCAAGAGCATAGATCTATGGCACATGTCTATTAAAATATAAAATTATTTGCTTCAATATCAAAATACATCTTAATTTTGGTATATTCTCATATTTATAATTCAATCATCCATATAAAAAAACTATTTAACCAAATTAGTTAGTCATAACATTTTCAAATATAATGACATTAATGGTTTATAAAATAATGAAAACATTAAATTTTATATAAAATTAGAAAAACAACTTTCTTATTTTCTCCAAAAAATCTTTGAGCGGGAAACATCCTTACAAAAATAGCGATCGAAGTTAACTAATCTTTTTATACAGATGTAAATTGTTGGTGAATGGGTGTGTGTGGACTATGGATACAAATAAACTATTTTTTTTATATAGTTAACCATGATTATTTTTCAAAAAATTGATTTGATTAATTGTTAGTGAGATATTTCAATAATATTTAAAATAAAATGATTAAAACTAATTTGGTGTAAAAGTAGGAGATAAATGATTGTAAGTGATAGAGAGTTAAAATTATGTGAGTTGATGAATAATTTATATATTTATTTGAAAAAGTTTACCTATTTTTTCAAATAAAATATCTATTTTATGGTATGTTAATACTCATAAATTTCTTTTACTTTATAAGATAATTTAGGGTTTTATTTGATATTTTTTAATGTAATTTGATATATTATATAACTATGGATTTTTATGTAGATTGACCAAATTAAGTAAATAAAATATAAAAATAAACTTGAAACATCAGAGATACTAAGAAAATTGCAAGAACATAGATCTATGGCACATGTCTATTAAAATATAAAATTATTTGCTTCAATATAAAAATGTATCTTAATTTTGGTATATTGTCATATTTGTAACTCAATCATCCATATAAAAAAACTATTTAACCAAATTAGTTAGTCATAATATTTTCAAATACAATGACATTGATGGTTTATAAAATAATGAAAACATTAAAATGTGTATATATTTAAAAAAAAAAACAGCTTTCTTATTTTGTCCAAAATGTTTTGGGCGGGAAACATCCATACAAAAATAGCATTAGAAGTTGGCTAATCTTTTTATACATATGTAAATTGTTGGTGAGTGGGTGTGTGTGGATACAAATAAACTAATTTTTTATATAGTTAACTATGGTTATTTTTGAAAAAGTTGATTTGATTAATTGTTAGTGAGATATTTAAATAATATTTAAAATAAAATGATGAAAACTGATTTGGTGTAAAAGTATGAGATAAATAATTGTAAGTGATAGATAGTTAAAATTATGTGAGTTGATGAATAGTTTATATATTTGTTTGACAAGGTTTACCTATTTTTTTCAAATAAAAAACTATTTTATGGTATGCTAATACTCATAAATTTCTATTACTCTATAAGATAATCTACGGTTTTATTTGATAATTTTTAATTTAGTTTGATAAATAAATTATAATTTTATTTATAAAGATGTTATCAATGTTTTGTATTATATATATATAATATGAATGTCAAATCAAAGATTGTTAAAAGATAATTAATTTGATATATCATATATGAAAATTAAAATACAAACAAAAAAAGTTACTACCTCCTTTTTAAATTAGATGTCGTTTTGACTTTTTTGATTCATCCATTTTGCTACGTATCTAGACATATTTTAATGTTTAGATACATAACAAAATGGATGAATCAAAAAAGTCAAAACGACATCTAATTTAAAAAGGAGGGAGTAAAAAATTTTAAGAATAATAAGAAGAAACATTTATAATAATTGATGTATCAATAAAATAATGTAGGAAAAGGAAACGTACTGTAACTAATTGTAGAAGAAAATAAGGAAGAGATCAAGCATGGATTTAATATTAATAATAAGGATATTAAATGAAATCCAAGACTAATTATTTTTGTATAAAAAATATTAATTTATATTAAAGTCTGACTCCGAAGCATGAATTTTTGCCATATAAGATTTTGAAGCATGAGCTTCTACCACTTGAGCTCAAATGCATTCAGTAAATATATTTAGGGATGATGATCCTAGCCATTTTCACATAAAAATAATATGTATATATATGTGTGTGTGTGTACACACTTATCTTTAACTTAAAATGTATATCATAAATAGTGTATAATTTTTTCAAATTAACTAAATGACAAATTCAAATTCAATTAGACAAAATATATGGTTCACGTGCGGAGCACGTGCACCTTACTAGTCTTTATAAAAAGCGGGATCGTAGCGTCTGGATCCCGACTCATGAAAGACACACTAAAATTGTAATAGAAAAAATTGCAATATAAATTTTCTTCACAGAAAAAAATATCATTTTCTTCTTACTATACAGAATTGTAATATTATAATTTTTTTTTTTTTTTTGTTAATAAAAAAGGTTAATAGCCCTATTACACCATCAAGTTCTTACAAAACAGAGGAGAAAAAAATATTGGAATACAATCTGACCACATGAGCGTAGTTTTTGATCCCACCGCCCACTTACCAATGTCGTGAGCAATCACATTATGAAGTCGATTGGTATGTCGACAAAATCCACATTCTAATGAGTCCAAGAGTGCCAGGATGTTCGAAAAGTTACCTTCAAAAGGATGATATGAGTCGTTCGTAATCAGACCTTGCACTACTTCAAGACAATCCGTTGTGACTTGTTTGATCTTCAATCCCATTGTAGAAGCGAACCGTAACCCAAAAATAGACAAAGCCTCGGCCAAAGTTGGAGAGAAAGAACCCGACATATGGGATGCAAAAACCGCAACTACAAAACCTTCTGAATCTTTTATCCACCCTCCCAAACCAATTTCAGAATCTCGTACCGCTGCATCACATTGAAGATAACAACCATTTTCATTCCCTTTTCTACCCTTCCAAGCCCAATTATCCTTCACGACCCTACCAGTAGAATCAAAAATAGTACAAACTCGGGCCTGATCGTATTCCTCCACCCATCTTGTGCCGTTATCAATAATCGCTTCAATGTCACTCAAATGACCTCCCTTCAAAAGTAAATTCCTATCCTGCCACACCAGCAGCATAAACATAACAACCAACCTGAAATCCTCTTTCTTGTAGCCCTCCGAGATACTCAAAAGCCTCATCCATATTTGGTGCCCTCGCCATTTCGATATTACCTGCCACCAACCACACCGTTTCCAAAGATTCTTCACCCACCAACAATCGAAAAAAGCATGGTTATTTGATTCCCAACACCCGCATCTAGGACAGTTAGCGTTTGAATTAATATATCTTCGGTGGAGGTTTTCCCCTGAAAGGATCGCCCCGTGTGATAAACGCCACAAAAATGATTTTATTTTTGGGGGAAGATGTAACCGCCATAGCAAACGCCACCAAGACGCTATGACACTTGTGCTCGAGGATGGATCACCAACACCTGAATTTTTAAGAAAGCGATAACCACTGCGAACTGAATAAATGCCGTTTTTTTCAAAATGCCATATCAGTTTATCTGTCCTGACTGGATAGTTCAAAGGGATTGACAGGATATTTTCCGCATCAATAGGGAGAAATGCCAACTTAATTAAGTCGGTGTTCCAATTCCCATGAACTCCTATAAGATCCTGTACCTTTTCGAGTCCCAACAATGGTGGAGTAACAATATGGAAATGAGAATGCCGAGGGATCCACGGGTCTGAAAATTTTTTGATTTGAGAACCATCTCCAACCCTCCAACGCACCCCCATTTTAATAACATCCCGACCCCACATAAGACTCTTCCATAGAAACGAGGACTCCGGCCGTGCAACTGCCTCAAGAATATTTTTCCCAGGGAAATATTTAGATTTCAAAACCTTTGCAACAAGGGAATTTGGAGAAATGAGAAGTCTCCAAATTTGTTTCGCCAATATTGCCCGATTGAAAATCCTCACATCTCGAAACCCAAGCCCACCATAATTTTTCGGTTGGCACAAAGAATCCCATTTTACCCAAGATATTTTGTTAACTCCCTCTTTGGACCCCCACCAAAACTTTCGCATGAGACTTGTAATCTACTTGCAAATGGAACTCGGAAATTGAAATAAGCTCATGAAATAGACCGGCATTGCTTGAATGATAGCTTTGAGAAGAACTTATTTTCCGGCTGAAGAGAAGAACCTTTGATCCCAGCTTTTTAGCCTTTTGCAGATTTTCTCCCGAATCCTAGCAAACGTGCGGATTTTATTACGTCCAACCATTGACGAAAACCGAGATAGGTATCATGTGTCTGTAACTCATGGATCCCCAATTGATTCCCAATAGGTATCATTGTAATATTATATTTTTGTAATGTTTTTGAAAATTCCCCTTCTTTACAATATAGAATTGGAATATTAATATATACTTTTTTTTTAGTGTAGAACTGTTCTCTTATGTATCCTAATCTTGTTAGATTTGCTTAATTATTAGTCACTATTTTCAACAAATATATATGCTATCATATTCAAATGTTATATCTTAAATAATATTTGATAATATATAATATTTTCTTATAAAAAAAGGTATGCTTAACTTTCAAATATTTTCTCATTTTCAAACCTTCAACTTGTGCCAGTTGACTTGTTTATTTATTTTACGTCGCCTGTAATTGGACTTCTTTAATTAAAGTTATTAGCCTCAACTTGTGCCGGTTGACTTGTTTATTTATTTCACGCTGTCTGCAATTGAAGTTCTTTAATTAAAGTTATTAGTCTTTAGATATACATGTAAGTAAATTATTGTATATAATATATGATTAAAAACACTAGATAATCTATGGTAAAAAATACTTATGGAATTATTTCGCGACGGGAGTGTCACTAATTTATTAGGTACAAAACATGACTTTCCCAAAGCTACAAAATCAGCACTTGACTTGAGCCGTCCACTAGTAAAATTTACTTAAGATTCTAATAATAATCATTAATCTATCATTATATAAAAAGAATAACCATTTTACAAATTTAGAAACTTTTTCCCGCCAAAATCATTAAATATATCCTATATAAAGTAATGTAGGACAAATCTGAATAGGCAAAAAAATCCGCTCATTAATTGTGTAAAGATTTGTTTCTCTTTTTCCTGTTTCTTAGTTTATCGTTTTAACAACAAATATTTATTTTTCTTTTTCCTATTTTTAGTATAAATCTACACGAGCTTATCTCTTCTGTTACAAAATCTCATTGCATACGATCTTAGGTGGTTAAAAAATCTCATCTCTTATCTATACAGATTTGAAAAATAAAATAAAATAGAAATCAATTCATAATTACTACTAGAATATCATTATCTTTAAAAAAAAAATAATAAAATAGAAACCAATTCATAACTACTACTAGAAATCCATTATCTACTTTAAGAAGCTAATTTTTATCGGTCTAATTACTAATATTTTGACAAATATTCTAAGCTAACCATACAAAAAAGTATAATGATAATTTTGAAATGGTGTGTAATCAAATTTTTTTATATTCTCTTATACAAAATCATTTTACATTGTTTGACCCCGAATCTTTAATTTATAATTATTAAGTATTGTTTATCCTCCTCTTTTATTTATAATTATGTTTTTTCTTCCTCTTTTTAAATACGATCAATAATAGTTTTCACTTCCGCCATTGACTCAAACTCGAGGTCTATTTATAATATTGTTAATTTAATATTGTTCCCGTACATCGCACGGGCTACACACTAATTAATAATAATGGGCACAGAGACGACCGCAACTCTACTCGTCAACATATAAAAGAAAAGAACACTAGCTACTCTATCAATATAAACTAATTTATAGGAGAATACTGGGTGATTTATTTA